TTCCATATTGAAGCTTCTCACTACTCATCAATCGCATACATAACAATCTATCTCCCCCGACTACTCCATACCCTCTCCAATCTCCTCTCCATCTCCACCCCCGGCCAATAATTACACTCCCTCCTCATCTCCCTTACAAACCCCCTCAACCTCTCCCTCTCCCCCTCATCATCAAACCACTCCGCACACACGACCACCGCAAACGACGCAATCACCATCCCAGCAGGCGACTGCCGGTTCGACACCGCGACCCCACAAACCTCCCACACAGCCTGCTTAACCTCCTTCTCCATCTCCACCATCATCATACTCCTCCCAACCCTCACCCCCAACAACAAAGGGTTATACATCGCCAACAGAATGCGAACAAACCCCAAACTCTGCGCCGCCACAATATGACATCCATCCAGATACCACCTATTCGGGAATCCCCCACCGTCACCTCCGTCATCAGAATAAATCGCCTCAAAAGACCCCGGACACATCCTCACCCACTCATCCCTCCTCTCTACCAACCCCTTATAAGCACTCACACTCCTCGCCGCCCCCTCATCAAAGCAAAACTGAATCACATGCGCAGCCAATATCAACAACGCATTCACCCACTCATGATCCCCCGACGTAGCCTTCGGAGCAGGATACAAATCCAATATATCCAGCGGAATGCGAAACGGCCGCTGCTGCGTAAACGCCATATGGAATTCCTGGCGCACGCCCACCCAGAACGCACTCTGCCGTAAACCCCAAGAAGTAGAACGATTACCCGTAAGACTAAGCGTCGGCCGGGCCTGCGCTTCAAGAAACACCTGCAAGCCACGGACAGCGGTGGTGGTGGGGTGGGGATGGAAGGGCGCTATACCTTACACCTTAGCATATACCCCTCTGCTATATGTAGGTGATAGATGGAGGAGGATAATACATACTATCCAATTCCTCATAAAATCTCAACGTCACCACCGCGGCAAGGAGATTCTCATCCAGAATGGCATTCGGCTCGGTGCTCACGGAGCGGAGATGCGCGATGCATCGGTTATGGTAGTGCAGGGTGGAGGGTTCATCGATAGTCAGGCCGTGAGGGAGGCCGAATCGGCGGGTGATTTGTAGTTGTTGGTCCTGTGGGAGAGTGCTAAAGTGGCGGGCTGAGGTGGAGAGGACAGCGTCAAGGAGTGGCGGGCTGGTTCGCGCGCGTTGGGGGACGATGGTTGTGAAGCTTTGGGACGGGTCGCCGATGTCGAACTGTTTTTTCAATCAAATGAGTTGAGGTGGAGTGGGTGAATGGGAATGGGGTTGATTGGGGTTGGGGGTTGGGGGTATACGTACCCATTTACCTAGGGTTTCGGAGAAGTAGCGGAGTAGACAGGCTTCTTCTAGGGTGAGGTGGGCTTGGGGTGGATGTATGATTGTGGGAGAGATATTGTGCTCAAGGAATGTGTTTGGGGATGGTGTGGTGCATGGGATGAGAATGGGTGTTGTAGGGCTGGCATTGGGGTCTCGTGTGGTTGGGTCGGAAGGCTCATGCTGATATAGAGCTGCCACGGCGAGTGTCTCGTCGACATACTCGAACGATAAATCTGCGTACTTGGTATCAGTATACTTTCGCAGTTGCAGGATATCAACCCACCTGATATGGTTGGACTGCGCTGCTTCTGTCCTCCCGAGGCATGCTCGTATTCAACGCTCGTGCTGTTGAGGAATCTTAGCTTGGGTCGCTCGCGGATGCATCTTCGTCCAGAGGTTCGACATCTGGTGCATGCTGGGCGGTTGTCGTCACCTGGTAGTGGCTGTTTTAGCTGTGTGTTTGTGCTCGGTGGGGGAGGGTTTGGGTTTACATCTCAGATGATGTTCTGTACATTATCAAGATATATATTTAGCGTCGGTAGACAGAGTCATTGGGATAGAACATACTTCGGCAATGCTCGCTACTACGAGTCAGTCCACTACTATCGTTGAAAAATGAGACAAAGGGTAGACATACCATGGATCGCGCCTTGTAGGCATCAGTAGCAGGAGTGATTGAGTGTATGAGGGCAAGTAGAACAAGTAGTAGACATTTTGTCGAAACGGGAGGGGTTCGCCGAGGGTTACCCCATCGGTCAGCAGTTCCACCCCCGCATGCGCCGTTCACCCTCCATATGCGGGGTTCACCACCATGATTCTTACCGACTTTGAGCTTCATTCCTCTTACTTGTTGTGAGATAATTCTGGGAGACTGTTAGGTCCAGATCTACACTCGTGTCGGTTTTTGACCCCCGCATTACACTTCACAGAGACCCTGGCTCGCTAACTAGCCCTGTCTTGTGGATTAGCGCGTGATGTGATGATATCTGCGGACAAAGCAATGGAAATGTCGTATTCTATTATTTGCTTCAATTGTCCAGATATGCGACATGACTGTTAGACTTTACTCAAATGATCCCCGTAATCGCGGGGTAGAAGCCCTACTCCGTAGATCGTTAAGAGTGCTGCGTAGGGTATGAATCTTGCAGCCTTTGTATAGGGAAAGGAAGCCTGTATAACTAGATTGACTAATTCTCTGGTCATTAAGTATAATGGCAGGTAAAATGTGCTCTCTGAGGCTCGCAATGATATCGTCGTGGCTGTGGAGCGTCTCCTACAGTAAGGGCGTCAATGTCCGCAGGTTGGGAGCAGGCATGACCTACCTACAGTACAAGTACGTTCATACTCAAGATCGCAATCTAGATAGAGCTCAGTTTGCTCAGGAGGGCTTCAGAACTACGAACTCGTGCAGAGGCGCTCTAGGGTCTACTCGCTGCGACGCATCGCCAACTGGTTGCTGCATGCCACCGCTTAGGGATAATCTCGCCGGTACTAACCGTTTTGGGGCGCATTCGGCGAGCATCGCCTTTTCGAGCTGTGCAGTATACAGCATCAAGTATCCAGCAATGATAGCCAAAAGGACATATAAACGGTTTCAATCATGTCTAACCTCAAAATGGATAGAACATATAGAAGTGAAAACACAGACACAAATTGCTAGTCAAAATGTACATCTCAATAGCCATCACTCTACTCACCCTCCTCGTCATCTACTACTTCATCCTCCCCATCATCAATTACTTCCGCGACCCTAAAGGCTTCCGCAAATACCCAAACCTTACATTCTGGTCCGGCATATCCGACCTACCTCTCGTTTATTATTCGCATAAAGGCATCCGCTACAAGCGCCTCCTCGAAGCACACAAAACCCACCCCGTCGTCCGCATCGGACCCAACTATCTCTCCTATGCAGACCCAGAGGCCATCAAAGACATCTACGGCCACGGAACAACCTGCACGAAAGACGTATTCTACTCCACGCTAGCCGGATCACATTTCCACCTAGCCGATGTTATCGACAAGGGCGAACATGCACGAAAGCGCAAAGTTCTATCGAGCGCATACGCGCTCAAGAACCTGGAAACCTGGGAGTACAAGGTCGCCGACATGACGCACCGTCTGATAAAAGCGTTTGATGCACAATGCACGGATCTATTACCAAAGGGCCATCGTCCACTCGAGAAAGATCTCACAATCGATTATCGCATGTGGACCAACCTGTTCACCATAGCAGCTATCGCCAACATCGGTCTAAGCGAGGACATCAAATTCCTCGACCAGGGGAACGATCTAATCACATCAGAGTCCATGGACAGCAAGACAAAGCGAGTTCATTTCCGCGATTGCCTCTTTGCTACAGGGTCAGCTACAGCTACTCTGGTCTGGTGCTACGACTGGTACAAGACCTTGGTGCGAGCAAGCAAAATCCTGTCTCCGACATACAACCAGAAATGGAAACTCAACAAAGACTGGGACGGCATCGTCTACAACCGTGCCACAACTCGATGGAAGCGATACCAAAATGGTGAACAGCTCGATGATTTCTTCTCTGCGCTCATGGAAGATAAATCGCATGTTCCACATAATCTCGAATGGGGCGAAATCATCGCAGAAATCAGTATCATGATGAATGCAGGGTCTGATACAACTGGGATTTCGCTGAGCAACGTGATGCTTCTTCTCCTAAATAATCCAAGGTGTTTTCAGAAATTGCGAGAAGAGGTTGACAGCGTGCTAGACGAAAACGAGATCGTCGCACCCTACGACAAAGTCAAGCATCTGCCCTACCTTCGGGCCTGCCTGGACGAAAGTCTCAGACTGTTTCCGCCCGTGTCGTTTGCGCTTCCGCGACGTACGCCGCCTGAAGGTACTATGATTCTATCAGATCATATTGCGGGAAACACCTCGGTCGGCATGTCGGCATACGTGGTCCATCGCAATGAGACCATATTTCCGGATCCTGAGGCTTTCCGTCCGGAGAGGTGGCTTGGGGAGAAGGGGAAGGAGTTGCAGCCCTATTTCATCCCGTTCAGTACTGGTGCGAGAGGATGCATTGGTCGAAATATTAGCTACCTTGAGCAGACTATTTTGGTTGCTTCGCTAGTGCATCGATTTGACTTTGCTTTGCCGTATCCAGGTTGGGAGCCGGAGAGGCATGAGACAACGAATCTTGGTTCGGGGCCGATGCCGATGAAGATTTGGAGGAGGGAGGCGGCTGCATGAACTACCATGACTTCACTTTTCTCGAGATTGGGTAGAGGTGAGAGGTTTTGCACACGTACCAAGGGATATAACAGGTAAACACGAATGGATCTATTCTTACGCATTTTTCTCCAATGTTCTAGGATAAATTCCACATATTCATTCTATGTCCAAACTGGGTGGGCAAACCTACAGGTCTTGAGTTGGATTATTGAAACACTACATAATGACATACTTAGGCTTTCTACATCTGGTCTTATTAGTTGTCGATACTTTCAGTTTGTATTCATTTCATTAAGATACAAACAGATCGAGAGCCATCTGACTGGTGCCAAAGCTTTAGTTGAATGGAGCATGACACCGAGCTGAAGACTGATGAAGGACTATATAAAGATAAAGCAGCTAAGACAAACCATCAGCCCCGAATGATGTTGAACAATATCTACCAGCCGGTTTCTCAAGATGATATCGTCGCATCAGGAAATATGTCTAGTCGGATAATCCATCGTCATCTTTGCCGCGCTGTTTTCCCTTTTTGTAACTGGTGGTTGCAAGCGTAATGAGTCCCAGCCGGTTGAACTTGCCATTGATCATTGATAGGACTTTATTTGAGACAGGCTCCACTGACGATTGCATAATCAATGCCTTGAGAAGATCACATTCCAGAACTTCGGGAACACATTTTCCTTTCGATGCCTGTCTTCCACACCTCTCCAGAACAGCGCTGTTTATCCAATTCACAACAACATCCCAGTCTTGTTCCTTCTTCACCAGCACTTTCCAGACTGGCAAATACTCATCAGGATAAACATCAGCCACCGCCATGTGCAATGCGCCCCACACCCTAATCAATTGACAAATGACTTCATCCTTTTCCTCGGCAGATAAATTTCACAAGTCCCAATCCTTATCATAGCATCCGATACTATCATTACGAAGCTTAAGTTCGCGAGAAAACATTCTCTTCAACTTTGTCGCTTTCCTCTCCAAGGTAGCTGCTAGCATCATGGCCAGGCGATAGTAATCAGCGGAGCGATTGGAGACCTTATCGAATGAACTAGCTTTACAGGCCTCTGAGTACAGGTCCATCTGGCGAAGATCTATCATGAAGTCTTCGAACCAAGCTCGGATGGTATCACCGGGGATCTGAGAGGTAGACCCAGCATCTGGATTTTCATTCTCCGGCTGAGACTTGGATAAACCTTTGGAAACGTGGGGCTTTGTTCTATGCTGTCGTGCGTGTTCCATCTTCTTCTTGATAGCTTCATGTTTGGCCCGCCTGGCATCATGTGCTTTCTTGGCTGCCTTTTGGCGAGAGGTTTTGGGCCATTTATAAATGGCTTCGGAAGGCATTGTTGTTGTGGTGGGCTATGGTCTTGCGTGGCTTGGGCAGAATGTTTCTGTAGCTGCGTAGGTAAATCAAGTATGGTAGAGGTAGGTGGCAAGGAGAGGGAGAGACCTGGTGTTGAGGAGACGACGAGGGGAAGGAGGAGAAGGAGGAAACTGGGGGTATTTATAGGCAGGAGAAGCCTGAGGCTCCCTCTAATATCCTCACTAAGATGATCAGTATGCCTTCACTAGGCAATGATTGTGGCACTCCCTTGACTTGCAGGGCTGAATTATAGTATTCATGAAGTCAAATCCGGCCTCTACTTCGACCCTTCTTATCTGTTATCTCATATTCAGTCTAGAGTACAGATCCATAACCTCATTAACATCATCATATTATTAAGTACATAAGATTCGCATAGCTATCATATTGTAGTCCATCACCAATCGCCCCAATTAAGTGACCCTTCTCCACCACGCCACCTACTAACCTAGAATCCGTAAACATCCTACTCATAATCCGTCCGCGACGTAACCCCATCCCACTCATCCCAAACCTTCATCAACTCCTGACAAGTATTCCTCACAATTCCAAACGTATCCGACCCCAACGGCAATCTCAACGGCAACTCCATCCCCTTACACCTCCCCTCCCCTCTAACCGCCTCCACAACCAACTCAGCACCCTTCCTCGGATCCCCCGGCTGATTGCCACTCCACTCCAAACAACCATCATACGCTCCCTGATTCATCTCTTCATACTCCGGCAAGCGATTCGGATTTCGGTACTGAATTACCCCGGCTGCCATGACCTGCGTGCGAAAATGTCCGTACGTCAGAATCGACACTCGGATATCAAACGGCGCCACTTCCGTTGCCAGAACCGGCACCATACCCTCTATCATCCCCTTGGGTCCTACATAGGTCCCCGCACAGGGAGCGGCGTAGTAGGTGCCTACGGAGCCGGAGAAGAGGATGGTTCCGGTCTTGCGGGCACGCATGTGAGGGAGGAGCGCGCGGGTAAGGGTGAAGGGGCCGAGGGCGTTGATACGGATGGAGTTGAGGAGGAAGTTGTCGCTATAACTTTTATTAGTGGGGATCGTGATGATATGCATAGTGTAGGGACGTACGTCATCTCTTCGAAGGTGGATATATCGATGTATCCTGCGTTGTTGACGAGGACGTCTATGGGTCCGTACTTGTCCCAGATCTCTTGGGCCTTTTTCTTGATCTCTTCCTCCGGAGATGCCATGTCCAATTCGTAGACTGCTGCGCCGGCATCTTTGAGGGAGATGAGACGGTCGGTACCGCTGACGCCTTTGCTTCCGCGGGCTGTGGCGATGGCTTTGTCGCCCTGTTGATTTGAATTAGCTCGTCATACGTTTAACTTCGTTGCAATAGTTGTGTACAGAGAAACGCACCTTATCAAGAATAGCCCGCACCAAGGCCTCTCCCAGGCCAGAGGAACATCCGGTAACAAGCCAGGTGAGTTGCTGTCCGGCCATAATGTTGAAAAGCAGAGCGTAGCTGGAACGATGCGATGGAATTCTTCAGCCTTGGTCAGTGTCCCAGGTCTTCTATAACTTGGTGGGATTACATTTACTAAACCCCACCAAATAGCTTGGATAGCCTTCAATCTAAACAGGTGTACTGTATAATAGGTTAGCCAATTGGTAGAGCCTTGTTAGGGCGGAGTTCGTTTCCATACCCCGCTGTCAGTTTATACGCCTTAGACTTGGCCCTGTACGGATCATATGCGAAGTGGAACTCTCTACGATGCACATTGGCGTTTAGAATAATGCAGGGACTATGCATCTCCACGGCAGGCGAGGAATAAGATGAAAGTAGATGACGTCAATACTTATTTGAAAAAGAAGGTGACTTTGGTGGAAGATGAACACCATGGTTGTCCAGCCCGCTATGCTGCTTTAGGGTCGGGCCGAGGTGAGCCCCAGCGCCACCATTATCGATACTACCATCATCGGCACCGCAGCTTTCTACTATGCATTCGTACTTCAGCTTGACTCCGGTTCTTAAGTAAGTAGGTTAGTATTCATTTGCTGTTGATGGGCTCTTAGGGGAAGTTGGAGATATATGGAGCGACAGAAATGTTTTGAGAAATTAAGCAAAATGAGGTATCTTCTTTGCAGACATTATGTTCTCAAGTCCCAGTAACTTGTGCAAGCAAGGTATCAGTTGAACAAGATATCAGAACAAATATACAACCACTAAACCTAAACCCAGCCAGCCAGCCGGCTACAAACACCAACAGAAAGTAACTAGTAGAGTAAGACAATAGGGATCACTCCACAATCTCAAACTTCACATCCCTCTCCACTCCAAACGTCTCCTTCCAATCATCCCACAACTTCGTCAACTCCTGCACGTACGTCTCATGCAACTTATCAACATACTTCTCATCCATATCCCACCTCTGCTGCACAACCTCAATCGGCTTGCCGACAACAACATTGAGTGGCTTCCTATGCGGACAAAACAACCCAAACCTGCCCTTCGAAAACGCAACCTTGTGACCGACCGCGAACTCCCACGCTCGCGCCACCAACCCCAGTGCCGACGACGACTTCGTATCAATCAAATCGAACAGCTCATTCTCTCCGAACGCAATAACAGGGACTAGATCCGCCCCTGTCTCGACCGCGACGCGGACGAAGCCCTTGCGGATCTTGATTACAACCCCCATAGTGCCCGGCTTGGCAATGTTATACTCGCGGCTCCCGCCGACGGTGATGGCGATGGAGCGGCCCATGCCTCGCTCGTCATGTCCACCGCGAGTGAGGTGCTTGATGCATGAGGTGCGGGAGACGCCGCTTGCCCCTGTCGCGAGGAGGTATTCGCGCAGGAAGGGTTGGTAGAAGAAGCCGTCTTTGACGAGCAAAGTATTGGTTAGTCCTGGGAAGAGGGAGGAGAAGCCGACGCTGTCAGCGGCGAAGGAGCCAAATGCCCCGCGCAGGGCAACGCCGTGCGGGTGGTAGCCGAAGATGTATTTTCTTCTGGGAGATAGAGGAGCGGAGCGGTAAAGAGTGAGAGGGAAGTAAGAGGCGAAGGCCTTCCACACAAAGGATGTGCGGAATGCGTCGTTGCGGTAGGGCAAGGTACCGGATTTGTGGGCCTTGGCGAAGTATTTGATGTAGAGGATGTAGAGGAGGACGACTAGGCGGAGACGGGGAACCAGGAGGAGAGAGTAGCCCAGTAAAGGGAGGTGGAACCAGGCGGTGCAGAGGAGTGTCATGAGGATGGATTCGGTCATGTCGGTTAGGAACGGTCTGTTGGTTGGTTAGATAAGATCTTATAGCGTTGTGGGGGTGGGAGAAGGGAAGGAAGGGGACTTACTTGGATGCGCCTTTGCCTTCGGTCTTGGGCATCTGCGCAGTTTGGAGGGTCTGGCCTGCACGGTTCGTGATCTCGTACAATCGTGGCTGATTCTCTGGGCCGGCTTCGGGGATGTGAATCGCTGTCGCCTTCTCCGGGTTACGTGCCAACTCTGCAATCTTCTCTGCAGCGGCGACACGACCTTCTTTCTTACAGAGCTTGGCAATTTCGGTTGCCTTTTCCTTGTAAGAGCGGTTGCTCATCACCTTCAGCAGTCCTTTGCTCAACTCTTTGGCGCTGATGTTGGGAGCCCGGCTCTTGTTGCCGTAGACTCCAATGCCTAGCCATTCCGCCCGAGCGGCGTTCTCATAGCAGTCTTGCCAAGCTGGAAGGACGATGTGGGGAACGCCATTTCTGAGGAAGTTAGGATACAGCTCAGAATACAAATTTGAGGGGCAACTTACTGAATAGCTTCGTACCACGAGTTAGCACCGCCGTGGTGGACAGAGCAGACAATCTGGCCCGTCTGCAACATGGCCATAGGCTCCACCTCGAACCATGGGCGGATCAGCACACTTCCCTCGTCGGTCTCCTTTTTGAGAGGCTCGATGGAGCGGCTGTAAATGTCATCTTCATCATGTGGATGCTTGGGCAACTTCCACAGGATCTGCACCTTCTCGCCCTTCCAAGCGTTGAGAAATCCCTTCAGGCCAGTTGCAATTTCCTCAGCAACCTTGGGATCAGGTGCATACAAGGTTCCGAGATTGACGAGGATAGTTGGGGCCTGCTTCAGCCACTTGTGCATCTGAGGATCCTGCTTCTCGACAGAAGCGGTGGGAAGCAGGATTGGCCCAGCCGGGAGGATATTCTCAGGCATCTTGCTGAATGGCCAATCCAGCTCTTTTAGGCCTGGAGAGATGTGGTATCTATCCGGACGCCAGGCATCGGCAAACGGAAAGCGACCGTGAATCTTGTGCTTGATGCGCCATTCACGAATCTCCCGACGTCGTCCACTGCCATGGTACATCTTGGCCGTCTTGAGGACAGCCATGATGTTGAGCGGGATGAGATGCCAGGGGATGGGGTAGGGGAAGCCAGTTCCAGGTCTGTTATATTAGCAACTGACTAATCATACAGAGGGAAGATACTCACAGAGGGTATTTCCATAGAGCAGCCGAGTTGGGTTGCATCCCGAGCACAATGTGACTCAGGGAGGTTGTATTAATCAGGATGGCTGTATGGCCCGTGTTGTAGGCAGCATCTCTGCCTTGAAGGAAGAAGAAGTCAATTGCAATCGTCGATGGCTTGACCTCGTGGATGATCTCGACGCAACTCTCATAGATGTCAACATATTCCTCCTCCGTCCAACCCCAGATGTCTTCACACAGAGACTGGAAGCCAAGGACAGCACCATGGTAGCCCGGGGGGTGAAAGGCACCACGCTTGCCTGTGCGGATGAAGACATCGGTGTTGGAGGGACCCCTTACAGGGTGGAAATGAATACGCGACCGGAAGGACTCGTCATAAGCAGGTGCGTTGTCTGCCAGAAGTTTCTCCACCCGGCGCTCAAGGACCGGGAATGAGCCAATATGGACTTCAACGTCTCCTTGGACGAGGAGCTCGTGCGTGATTGCCAGGATGATGTTCGTTTGACCATGTTCACTGTTGGCCAGAAAGAGGACTTTGGTAGGTTGTTTGGGCATGGTAGAAAAAGGAAGTATGCTCAATGCCAGCCCCGCTGGTTGAGCAGTCAATTATAAGAAAAGAAAGATTCAAGGTTCAATGATTGA